TTTTGTTTAATTCCATAGCATGCATAGCATGAGTGAGTTTCAGTGCGGAAATCTGACCACCGCTACTGGAAGCGTTATGAGCTTTGTTGGTGATTAAACTCCGACCATTATTGCTTACCAATATATATATTTTATTTATTTGCATTGAATTGTTGTTAGAATCACCTACATATTGAGCATGCAAATTTAAAGTAATGTTAACATTAAATTTATAAATTTAACAAATATTAATGATGATATCAGCTAGTTTATACATATATAATAATATAGACAGGCTGTTAACCTCGAAAATATAATAAATTTTTGATGTAAGTACCTTAAATATTTTTATAATCATCTAGTGAGAAGCTGTTAATTTGATATTACAAACAGACACTTCAATTTTATTTATATTTTATATACAAGCACTGCCAGTGGTTTCACTGCGTTTAATTAAAGCCTATATTTTATTCTGGTGTATAAGATATACTACTGTAAAGTTTCGTCAATATTCGTTCAATAGTTTTTGCGTGAAAGAGTTACAAACATCCATAAATACTCACAAACTTTCGCGTTTATAATATTAATAAGATATATAGATAATCGTACATATAAATATCATTACCTGACCTACATCTGGAATATAAAGAATGGTGAGATAATTATTATACACGCCGTGACATAACCACATATTTATTTTGCTGTTTCATGTTAAATACAATCAACTTTTTGTATGTCGGTCAACCGGTGTGAGTAACACGAAACGTATAAACGTAATTTACCTTACTTCATAATAATAATTGTGTAAATATATCAAATTGTGTTATGTACATATGATATTAGGGCAGCGAGTAATTGGTCTCTCCTTGACCAACTTTTTTTGAGCTATTACGGAAAACCATGTAATAAGTAATTTAATTATATAATAGATTATATATATGAATTTAAAATTACATTTTTTGTTATGTATATAGTTATAAAAGAATATTTTTTTGACTACTCTAATGCTGTTGGCTGCAGGTGGCCCTTATAGCTTCGCCGGACGATAGCGGGCGAGTGCAGATGACACTCCAAATCCGTGGAAGGCCTTATGGAGCGGCTGGAGGCCAACTCCTGCTTCACGGATACGACTTTAGTCTGAGAAAATCGCTAGGGGTTTAAATCTGTCGTAATTTTAATCCTCGTTTAAATAGATCTGGATGTAAAGGGAGGGGACGCCCTAAGAAAAGATGGATGGATTGTGTGAAAGATGATATGAATAAAAGATGAGTATGCTCAGATGTGACGACCGATAGAGAGCAGTGGAAGAGAATGACATACTGCGCTGACCAAATAATGGGATAAAAGCAAGGCAATGGTGAATAGATCTGGGAATCGATCGGAGGGACGATAAATAAAGTACATGTTCATATACCCAGACTGACACTAATACAAATGTTTCCTTTCGAGCAAATGAATCTGCGACCATCGGAAGTGAGGCGGAGACCTAACCAACCTACACTACGCCACTAAGGAGCAGAACATTTCGACTAATGTGGACTCATGACCCCATTATTAGCAATGTCAGGTTGACCTTCACGTGGTTCCCCCTGGAAATCATCGTGATAAATTCTTGATGAATTTGTCATGATGGGTTAACTACCCTGACCTCATGCTCATCTTATCATCCTCCACTGGTGTCCCGCCAGCGTAAACCGTTAGCGCAGGCGGGTGCACCATTCCATTATCATCCAAAACAGAATCAAATCATGTAGGACATTTAATCCGCTTATGAACGTCAAATTGCTTGCATTACATTTTTTCCCTACCATCCAGTTCGATATACAGATTCAATTGAGAAGAACTTGCAAGAAACTCAACGTTTTTTTTAATAGCCAATTTTATTACATTGTCTAACTATATAGTTGTCTATGTCTAACATTCAATTTCTATAATTCTATTGCCATGCACGTTTGTCAATCAAGTAAGCATTTAGTTTAGAGTTTAGATTTTTTTTTGTCAGTCCAATTATATAGAAATATTGTTTCTGTAAACATTTGTACGTACCGTTCTAGCAATTTTATCTGGTCCGTTTGAGATATAAACAGGTAAAAGATTGAGAAATGTTTGAGACAAGTTGTGCTCGCGGAACGGGGCTCGGATAAATGTAGTATACATTATGAAAGGCACTCAATATTGAATCGACAATTTCACAATGAGCAAATTATCGTTTACATAATAGTATAACTGTGTGCGAGTTACATCCTTGTATATAATATATATATTCTCAGCCTGATCGGTTTAAAATTGACAAAGTTTCATACAAACTTTCAACCCCTATTTTATCCCCTTGGGGGTAGAATTAATCAAAAATCTTTCTTAGCGGATGCCTACGTTATAATATCTACTTGCATGCCAAATTTTAGCCAAGTCCTGTGGTTTGGGCTATCTACATATCTATATATCTACATATATACCTATATCATATAATATATCTTATATATAAAATTCTCGTGTCACAGTTTTTGTTTCCATACTCCTCCGAAACGGCTTGACTGATTCTCATCAAATTTTGTGAGCGTATTGAGTAGGTCTTAGAATCGGCCAACATCTATTTTTCATCCCCCTAAATGTTAGGGGTAGTCCACCCCTAAATTTTAATTTTTTATTTTTTAGACAAAAGTTTTAGTTTCTATTTTTTTTATGATACAACATACAAAAATACATGCAATCCTAAATTTTCACCCTTCTATCATTAACCCCTATTCTTTATAGCATTATTAATTTATAAGGCAAAACAACGTTTGCGGGACTGCTAGTATATTTATATACATATACAGCCATAGAGGCAAATATCGCGTTATAAAATGGGTTAGCAAGAAAGATGACTGCAACACATTGTTGGCCATACAGTTTATTTTGTACTCGTACCATGCGTGCCACGTTGTATTTCCAAATATCCTCATTACATATTGAGAAATGTAGCGTCATTGTTTAGATATAATTGAGTTAGACGTAAAATCTTTATTCTAAAACATACTTACTTTACGTTTTGAAATATGAGCGTGTTAGTTTTTATATAATTGGATTTTTATTCAACAGAGCGTTGTGGCGTAGATGTTTAGGAGCCGTTCAAGTATTACGTAAGGGGGGTGCAGGGGGGGGGGGTATTTACTTTGATTATTTTGGATGACATAGCCCCCTATGTATGTATACATATACATAATATAAATAGAAAACACCCAGACTGATACAAATAATCATACTCATGAATACAAATGTTTGCACCGTGCGAGGAATCGAACCCGCGACCATCGGATGTAAGGTGGTGTCCTCAATCGCTAGACCACCGAAGCCGTCAATTATATATATATTACGTCTAAGTAATGAATATGTGTATTATATATTTATAACATCATTGCTAACATGTAATTGTTCTGCTCTATTTGTTGCATCATTTCGTAATGATTACACAAATTATGAAATAGAATTCAGTAGAATAAATATATATATAAATAACAAACAAATAAATGTTGGCAACATCGGTAATCTATATAACCTAAAAAAGTAACAATAATAAATGAAATTTTTAATTATTGTTCTTAGTACTTGCATTATTAAAATAATTTAATTAAAACATAGTAAATACGTAATTATTTTTAATTATAACTATATTTATTTGTAATCAAAGTATAAATATTATTTAAGAAGACATTACGAGAATGGTTAAAAAATAAAGAATTTTACAGTTTAAAGAATTTTTTTGACAATATATAAATACCGACTAGAGAGATCCTATTTAACTATTATTATTATTATTATTATTTCTCTCTATATAGTTAATTATGTATAATTTTAAACAATACTATTTTGCATGCCACTACTATGGCAACACACATGATACTAAATTTTAATTACCATCTTTTATACTGTGTTTTTTAAGCAAATAAATTATTATTATTATTATTCTTTATTTTTTCTCAGCTTTTGCTGGTTATTATTATTATTATTATTATAATGTTAAGAGTCATACCGAAAACTTATTTTCGGAGAGCTTTTTTTTTCTATTTCATGTATCCATATAAGAAAGGCAAAGAGTCTAAGCCCATACAGCCGTTGTCTTTGGTATCATTTTTATATTCTAATTTCTTTTTTCCTTCTTCAGATATCTTTTGCTGTAGAGATAATATATTCATAAATTGGTTTGTATGTTTCTTGATTTTAGTAAAGTCTGAATAGTGCGCGGGATATTCAGGTATGTTTTAACGGTATTCATTTCATCATTTCAAATACGATGTGACGTCTTTGGCAATAGTAACAATGATGAGGGTAGTGATGTTAATAATTTCTTTTATCAAATTAGACGTTATTTTACGGTCCAATTCATTAATTAATGGACTTATATTATCATTATATTAATACGTGAAGCGATAACTTTGTCTATGTGTGAGACCACAAATATTCAGTGCGGAAACCTGACCACGTCTACTCTAAGTGTTCGACCTCTATTGGCAATCAGATACTGACCGTTGCTACTGTATAATGTGACGATAGTGTTTTTTTTATTTTGTGGCAAACAAGTATACTTAACCCATTTGATGGTAAACGGTTACCGTAGCTTATGGACGCCTGAAACACCAGGGATGTCACGTGCGCGTTGCCGACCCTTAAGAAACCTTAATATACCCTTCTTGAAAAACCCCACTCAAAACTGTAGTCTCTCGAGAAAACCTCGGCAAGTAGTTAGGAAGAGGGAGCTCCTCTGAAAACTAAATAATTTTGACGAAAATTTTGATTGCTTCGATGGTCTAGTGGTTTAGCACACCACCTTACATATGATGGTCGCGGGTTCGATACCTCGCACGGTACAAACATTAGTATTCATGAGTACGTTTGTTTGTATCGGTCTGGTTGTTTTCTATGTATAATATGTATGTATTTACGGACAAAAAACTATGTATTTGTATCAGTTATCCAGTGCATAACACAAGCTTTAGCTATGAATTGTCTTGAGATTATTATTATAAAAAAACATGACTCACTGTTGGTCGAAGGTGGTGGCATGTGCTGTTCATTGAGGATCTGGCAGAGTTCAGCAGAGCCGGTCCAGTAGTTGTTGCCCCAGTAGAACATGGAGTTGTACCTCCCGCTCGCGTCCTCCACTGCAACCAAAACATTCATATCAAAATTTATTAAAAAAATTATGAACGGGTTTGTGATGTGATGACGGGATTATGAGTAATGTGGATCTCATTGCTAGCAATGTACCATGTCAAATTGACCTCCACGCAGTTCCCCCTGGAAATCACAATGATAAATTACTGGTTAATTTGTCACGATGGGCTAACGGACCGGACCTCATGTTCATCTTAACATCCTCCACTGGTTCCCCGTCAGCGTTAGCGGGTACAGATTTCTATTAATATCCATAAAAAAAACTATCCACGGGTTTGGATTAACACCTGCCCTGTATTCCGGCCTCCGTGGTTTATCGGTTTATTACACCGTTTACTACCTATAGTCGTGGCTTCGATTACTTGTACAATTCGTATCCGTATGATTGTTAGTATCGGTCAGGGGGAGACGATCACTTGAGGGGTTATTAATATTTCAACGTAATGAGTAATTGTATAATTATTCTCATGAGAATTTACTGTAATAAAACGAAAATGAATGAGCATGTATATACACGCTAAAATTGGAGTTAAATATATGTACATAAAGAATTGGTGTTAAATGTATATTTATATTGTTAAATATATAGTTTCTATATAATGTTCTTTTCCTCTGTGGTGATTATTTTTATTTCAACGATCTTCGGTTGAAATAAGTAATTGTATATTCATTGCCATGAGAATTTATTGTAATAATACGAAGATAAAATTTTAGTATGTGTATATTTAACAGACCTTTTCCTCTCCATATAAGTAGCTTCATGAATATAAAATTTCTTGTCGCCGGCCCATCTTCTCGATGACCTGCCTTGAACTTAATCACAAAATGACCGCTATATATTGTTTACCAGTAAATATGACATCTTACGAGGAAGTGATTTCAATCGGCGCCTGCGCATCGGTATTTATTACCATGACCTTTCACTTCCGTTTCCGGGCTTGTTGTGACGGGTAAGTGTACAATGGTTTGTACATCGATTACAGTAAATTATGTCGGGCGTTCAATTCCGTTCGGGTCAAGGGTGATTTCTACAGTACAAGGGTATTTTATTATTGATTGATGACTGTCTACTCTTAAAACCGATTCCGATCGATCAAGTTTAATTCCAACTATAGGGCATTATAATTTATTTAGTGTGTATTAAGCAAGATGTTACATATGAATGTGGATGGGTATCGCCATATTAACAGCTCGTCAGCAGTCAGAGCTGATGACAACTGCATGCAAATGAAATGAGAATATTGAGATGGATGTGTGGTCTGATATGAATGGACAAGATAAGGAATTAATACATTAGAGGAAGTATGAAAGTGACTGTTTAATCGTCTTTGGTAATTTAGTTTACATAGTTGTCACTAGATGGCGCTGTTCAATTTCTACAACGCGATATTGTTTCGTTTTGTAGTTACTGACGCGTTGTAAGATTGATAATTGGTTGGCGGCTTTTGATCAGATCACATTAATGTATATATTGTTGTTTTATTGTGGTAATTACGATCCCATTACACTTTTGTTTAAAAGTAAAGTGTTTCAATTCTCCTGACTTTCATTAAAGTAATGGAAGTGTACTTGTGAAGCATCGGCGAGTATACATATGGTCTCTTCGTGTCGGATCTAGCATTTGGAATATAATACGTCACGAGTTACTCGTTCACACCCAAGGGCGCAGTGGATTGTTGTCAAGGACGAGGCACATTGTGCAGTTAATAAGGAATACATGTACATATGTTGGAGTTTGTGTAACGTTGGAGTAACAGTGCAACCTGACGGCGTCCTGCAGATGCAAAGCGGAGCGCTAATCTATGGATGGAGCAATGAACGGAGCGGCAAGCAAAAATATATCTAAGTAGAAGTGTTAAGTGAGTGTTTTACCGGATAATCTGTGAGTACATTTAATTATATTCAGTGTTAGTAATTTTCAACCTTATATGTTCATGTGAAATAACTTTGAAAAAATATTAGATTTTGCAAAATAGTTCAAGTTAAATCAGAGACTGAATAATTACGAAAAAAAAGGGTTACTACGGGCGATCCATGCTGGATGTCACATTAATAAATAGTGAACTAAAACATTTGAAAAAATTCAAGAAATTTCTACTGGGACTTGTAAAATCGTCATATTTAAACTATTTAGTATTCAAAACTTGTCATAATTATTGCAGTTGCAATTTACAATTATATATTATAAGAATAATAGTAAGGTTATTTGTGTGAAATAAATTTGTAACAATTTGTTAGTTAAAATATACTGAATTTTCTATGCATTGTTAAAGTAATTTGAACTTTTCATATTGCAATTTGGATTTAGAGCATAAATTTATAACGAGTACCTATATTTTGTACATACACAAAATATTCTAATTATAGTGCATAAAATATTATTATAGACTAATTACAAGGTATTGATCATAAATTTACATAATGGATTCTTTGATAAAGGTTCAGATTAACTCTAACAAAACAATAAGTAAGGCCAGAAGTAACTTTAAAAAGTCATCCAAAGATCGTTTGACTGTATCATACATAGAAACGCGGCTTGAAGCTTTAGAATCACAGTGGTCTTCATTTGTAGATATTCATAATAAACTTATAGCTAATTATGATGAGGAGGAATTAGAAATTAGTAAGTATGTCACCTGTAATATTTATGAAGTTACCCAAGAATTATTTTTTGATTACAAGTCTGAACTTAAAGATAAATTAAATGAAATTAAACCTAATATATCCATAATTTCTAAAATAAATAATAGTTCTAATGAACAAGCTCATAGTGTCAGATTAGCTAAAATTACTATCCCCATGTTTTCAGGCAGTTATTCAGATTGGACTAGCTTCAGAGATCTGTTTATGTCTCTTGTACACACTAATAGTGCATTGGATAATGTACAAAAATTACATTATTTAAAAACCCATCTATCAGGAGAAGCTGAACAACTATTAAGACATGTTCCTGTAACTAGTGATAATTATCTTGTTTGTTGGAATCAGTTGGAAGCTAGGTACAATAATAAACGATATATTGCAAATTCAATCTTAAAAAGATTTATGAGTCAAAAGAACATTACATATGAGTCATCAAATACATTAAAGGAACTATTAGATACAAGTAATGAATGTATAAATGCTTTAACTAATTTAGGCCTTCAAACTGAAACTTGGGATATTATTATAATTCATATTTTGTCTCTTAAGTTGGATACAGAATCTCGAAAATTGTGGGAATCGAGATTAAGCGATAGTACTGAATCTTTACCAACTTATAAACAATTTTCTGAGTTTTTAAATCAAAGATTTAGATCACTTGAATTTTTGGATACTAGGTTAACTAAAAGTATTATTAAAACAAAAGCGCTGCATGTTACTGAAATAATGAAATGTCCATTTTGCTCAGATAATCACAGATTATCTAATTGTAAGAAATTTGTAAAGGAAGAGCCAGAAGCACGTCGTAGTTTCGTGCAAACTCAGGGATTTTGCTTTAATTGTTTTGGCTCTAACCATTCTGTATATTCGTGTCGTGTACCATCCAAGTGTAAAATTTGTCAAAGAAAACACCATTCGTTGCTACACATGAATTCTATGTCTAAAACAAGAGACAGTGTCAATCCACAGAATTCACCAGGAGAAGAAGAACAAAATATTGTTAAACCAGAAATTATAGAAGAAGATGAAACAACCGAACGTATTACCACATGCCACATCAATATGCAAGGCCACATTTTACTGCCTACTGCATTAGTGGGGGCAATGACAAAATCAGGTACATATCTAACACTACGGTCATTATTGGACCAAGGATCGCAGGCTTCGTTCATAACGGAGTCAGCAGTTCAACTTCTTGGACTGCAGAAGAAAGCAAGTAAAAGTTATGTATCTGGATTAGGAAGTGATCGGGATTCCGTTGTGACCTCACAATGTGTGGTCAATATTAACATACAATCACTAATTAATCCAAAATTTGTTACGCAGGTCAAAGCCCATGTTTTGAAAGAAATTACCACATTGCTGCCGGATAAGGAAGTTCCTGTGCAGAGGTGGTCAAGTATACCAGATGTAAGGTTAGCAGATCCTACTTATAATATGCCTAATAAGATTGATATACTTCTAGGCTCAGATGTATATTATCAAGTTATTCAAGAAGGTTTAATTAGATGCGGACCAGATATGCCAGTGGCCCAAAATACTAAACTGGGATGGATATTATCTGGTAAGGTACAATCTGGTATTAAAAGAATAAAAAACTTTCATAGTTCTGTCATATGCATGCATGCTATAGTTAAGGAAACAAGTATGCTACAAAAAGTCGAAAAACAGCAAGTTAAACAAAAAATAAAAGTAAAAGAAATAATTGAAGTTAAAAAATATAAGGGAATCGAAGCAAGCAAGATAAAAAGAAATAATAAGGGAAAATATATTGTAAAAAATCCTTTTTGTGACCAAGGTTTTCATAGTCAATATACTAAACCATTGGAAAAGAGATTACCAACATTATCTAAGTTAATACATCAATATGGAAATGAAGTCAAGGAGTATAGTAAAATTAAAAACCTCCTAACTCATGTAGAAAGTAGAATGATGAACATTACTGTAATATATCTTAGGTTGACAGGTTATACTCTCTATGATCAGTTAAGTACTGGAAATCTGGAAAGAAAAAGATTTTGTGTTAATATAAAAAATTCATTAGAAATAAAGAGTTTTAAAGATAAAAAATGGAAAGTTAACAGTAGTTCTGTGCAGATGATGGATGATAATAACAAAAAACCAATGTATGGGTTAAAAATTGATATGTTAAGTCTTACCTGTAATCAGGGTGATTTAATAATTACTATACAGATGTTGGTTATAACTAATTCAGTAATAAACTGTAAAATAACTAAATTAATAAAATTGTTGAAATGGTTTGTCTATAGAAATGTATGCAGTACTGCACTACCTGAAAAATTATATAAAAAATGGATTACTTACCAAAATGATGTGTTGATGC